ACTTCCTCGGGGCCCGACTCGAATCTCACAAGGGCTCGTCTCTCGCGTCCAGCTGAGGTGAGGTTCTCCACGGCCTCGGGCATTAGGCCTTCCAGCCGCCGGCTGCGCCTTAGCGGGGTATCCATGGCCCGACCCGAAAGTTTCCAAACAGGAGTCCACGTGCAGCCTTCGCCCACTTCTGGGACTACCGGCGCCCTCCTATGACGTCAGAGAGCGCCGGTCCGTGTGCGCAGGAAGGGCTGTCGCCGAGGCGGCCATATTAGTGAGGGGCGAAGAGGCAAGGGTGTGTGTCTGGCGGGCGCGTGCGCAGTGTGCCGTGCACTGTGATGCACCAAATGCTTGTTTTTCCTGGGATTCGCGTTTGCCTCTCTTGCAAATGCTCTTTCCTGGGGTTAAAGGACAGAGCGCAGAAAAGAGAAAGAGGGCCCCAGATGGAGGAGAGAATAGGATTGGAAAAAGGTCCCGCATGCGGTTGGCCTCGGTTTCTTCACTTGCTCGTTGCAGGCGACTTTGCACTAGCTGCTTGGTGCACCGGCGGTGGCCCCAGCCTCCCGGAGTGGGAGATCGCGCCCACACCCTGACCAGTGCATCTCGTGGCAGTGAAGGCGAGGCGGCGGTGCAGCACCTGTCCCGATCGCGCGGACACCTGGGCCACCTGCTGCCTCCTCCAGGTGCAGCTCGGGTCCTCTGCCACCTTCCTCGCTGCGGATAGTGGCTCTGCCCCTGAGCCCGAGCCTGCCCGCCTTGCACTCTCGGGGGCGCCTTCTGTCACAGATAGGGCCTCGCCGGGGCTGTGCCCCAGAAGGCTGCCTTGAGGCCCCTTTGCGTGTGACCCCGGATGCCGCTGCTTCTGGGGAAGCACGCTGCGGAAGGGGCCCCTGCACCCCCGGCTCTTCCCAGCTTCGAGCTGCCGGTAGCCACGCCCCCAGGCCCAGTGGCTGCTTTTAGAAACCACTATGTGTCCAGCTGGGGGTTCTGAGAGGCCTGGGAAGTTGTCTCAGACGCTGGGGCCAGAGGAGACGGCCAGAGCGCAGCCACAGCTGAGTCCGCGAAGCAGGGAGTCAGACGGTGAGGAGGTGGGAGAGGAATACCAGGAAGTTTCCTGAGGATGGAGGAGTGCAGGAGAATCTGGATCACCACACAGCGGCCCAATGCGCCAGGACAAATTCAGCTGAGTCCCTGTGTGGACTCAGTGCCCCAAGGGGGAACCCCCCGCAGGGAGGTCCCTCCTGCCTCTGTCACTCCTCCAGTGCACCCCTGTTGCAGGAGCAGCTCGGGCCCCTCACCCAACTCAGAAGGGAGGCTGTGCCGGTTACTCAGATTCTCTGGAGGCCCGAGTGTGTGGTGCTCAGAACCAAGCCCACGTGGGTGACCAGGGCGGCTGTGTGACGTTGTAGGCCTCTGAGGCTCCTGCCACTTCCTGCCTGCTGTTCTAGCTGGAAGGGTCCCTCACAAGCGCAGATGGACCCACCCTAGCCCTACAGAAGCATTCTGGGGCCATCTCAGTTCACACAGAGGTGTGGCAGGGCCATTGTGGGCCCTCTATGTGTGTGCTCAGTAATCCACCTCGGGGGAGCTCTGCCCGCAGCCCCCACTCCCATGGGCTCAGCTTGTCCTTATTGTGGGCAAGGGCCCAGGGGAGATGTTTGGTGTTGTCACAGGAGCCTGATGTGGCGGTGGCTGTCGGGAACCTGTGGTTCCTAACACTGTTTTGCTCTCTGTGGCACGCACCTCAGTCTGCTTGCCTTCTGGGGAGCACGAGGGGCCTTCTCTGCCGTTCCCCAGAGACCCCAGAAGGCTGGAGCCTGTGTTGTGCACAAAAGTGACCTGGTCCTGATGAGAATCCTCCCAGTCATTCAACAAACACTTTTGGAGCCCAGAGCTGGGGCTGACAGTCGCCCTCCTGGCCTGGCGCCCTAGGGACCAAGTGGGCACCCAGGAGGCCTGGTGGGTAGTGAGTGACAGGTGTGTCTGGCCCTGGCACCCAGTGGGGGCGTGGGCATCTTCAGAGCCTCTGGAATGGCTGGGCAGAGGCCCAGGGCTGGGCTGCGACGGTGTCTTCTGTCCGCAGTCTCTGATCTCTGTCTGAGCCTGCGGGAGGCCCTGGTTTCCTTCAGTCCACTCAGCAGAGCTTGAGTTACCTTGGTTACCTCCTCCAGGCTGTGCTGCCAGACCCCTTCCCGGGGGCAGACCCAGACTCGATGAAGGCCGCTGCCCAGGCCCCTCCGCAGCCCTGGGCCCCACCCCCTCCATGTGTGGCCCCCGACTTTGGGCCGGCTCCTTGGCCTGGCAGTGCTCTACTGATGGCTCTGGAGTCAGGCAGGGTGTGGTCCGCACTGCTGCCACGTGTTTTCTGTGAGACCTGGGACGGAGCAGCTGGCTGGTGGACCACCCGTCCCTCTATCCTTCTTGGCCATGTGGGGTCCAGCCCCACCTCCCATGCTGTCCCCTCCCTCTGCAGTGTGGTCAGGAGCCAGAGCAGGACAGAGGCAACCACCTGGTCCTCACATCCAGCCCCGTCTGTGATCCCGACCTCAGCAGAGGGCAGGTGGGGCGAAGGCGGGAGTGTGACTGGACCCAGGGCTGCCCTGATGTCCCCACGGGCCAGGCAGCGCGCAGAGGGCTCTGCCCACTGGAATGGAAGGGCCCCTCCTCAAAGCTGCGGCAGCCTCAGGAGTGTGCAGTTATCTGATCGCGCAGGCATCTGCAGATTCTGCTGAAACAGGAAGGGGCCCCCTGGCCCTGACACGGGGGGCTGCATGGTGGGGGCCAGGCCTCCTCGCCAGCCTCGGGGCACACCCCCCACCTGAGGGGGCCGTGGGAGGGTGGGTGGAAACGCACACCTGCACAGGTGGGAGGTGTGGCACCTCCAGGCCCTCCCAGACGGGCGCGGACGGGGTGCAGTGGGTGTGAGGGTCATCTTGGCTGTCACCTGACTGCTCGGAGAGAGGCTGGGGAGCGGGGGAAGCACAGTGAGGTCAGCGAGCTGAGCGGGCCCCCCTGACTGTGTGGCACTGCCTGTGGGCCGGGACTCCATGGTGCCGAGCGGCGTCTCGCTGCTGCTGTGGCTGTGGGGCCAGAGCCCGCTGCCCCCGCCTTTGACAGTGGGCTCACACGGGACGCCCAGCCGGCCTGGGACGGACGACATCCTCTGTCCCTCTGCTCTGAAGCTGCAGGCTCCTGGTTTCCAGACTCCAGCTGGAGGCAGCTGCTGTAACCCTTGTGTCAATTACGCCCACACCCTAGGGCTCCCTCCCAGACACTGCCCAGTACGGCCGGGGCGGCACCTCTGCAAGCTGGACCAAGGGACAAGTGGCCGCAGGTGAAGAGCTTTCCTTCTTTGTCTCGGCCAGGACCAGGGCCGAGCTCACGGCTGTCTTCTTGTTTATTTAGTTAGCAAATTCATCTGAAGTTTGCAGGACTTCAGCCCAAGGGAGGGCAGTCAGGCTTGCTGCCTGGATGGAACAGAGCTCACCCTGGTCTGGGTGCGACACCCTTGATTCTGAACAGGCTGAACTTGAGGTGGATGAGCTGCAGCCCCACACAGTGCTGCCAGAGGTGCACGGCTGGGAGTCACTGTGTCCACAGAGAGGTGAGGGACACCACAGCCAGGCACACATGCGCGCGCGCACACACACACACACACACACACACACACACGCATGCACGCACGCGTGCACGTGACTCTTGGTTCCTAAGACCGGACAGTTATAGAGTTTCACGGTGAGTTACTGCTCCTTGTTTAGTTATCCCTCTCCTCTCCTTTCCTCTAACCCTTGGCTTCTCTACAGTGTCCTCCGTCACCAGTGCCGTACTGCCTCAGCCGTCCTTGCGCAGTACGCGGCTCTGTCCACAGCAGCCTGTGGACACCTGGCCTCGGCCCAGCGGAGCTCCTTTCCCGCACCACAGCCGCCGCACCTGGCTCTCGTGGAGGGGATCTTGCTGTCCACCGTCTTCCATCCTGGCGTGGACTCAAGCCAGCCCCAGCTCTGCCTCGGCTGTTGGCACAGACTGCACCACTGCCATGCCCTCCTGGCAGGCAGCACATCTGAGGCCCAGGAGCTGGGCAGAGCGGCTGCCCAGCCCACGGGACCCAGGTGGCTTATTGCCTGGGCCGCCTGTGCTGCCTGTGCTGCCAAAAGACCACCACAGGAGCAAACAGACGGCCTCCCTGAGTGCACCACTCACACATTTACAGATTGGAAAGGATATCAGGGGTTGCAGTGAGTTAAAAACCATAAAAAGATGCCAGCTTCCTGGTGGTGAGGGACAGCTGCCACCCACAGGGGCCTTCGCAAACTTAGCCCCAGGCTGGTGATCAAGGTGTGAACTTGGATGGGCACAGGCCTGGTGTGCAACTGTGGCCAGAACTCTGCTTGCTAAACATGTGTGGTTTCAGCTGCCCGCTTTGCTTGTGTTTGAAGCCCTCGATTTAAATCCAGAACAAGTCCTCTCTAGGGATGTCTGTGTTTTCTAGTCTTTGAGATGAGCTGGAAACTTCTGGCCTTCCTTCCCCATGGGCGGGGCTGATCAGCGTGCAAGTGAGCCATTCTGCTGCTCTTTTTCTGCTCAAAGTGAAACGTTACACAACACCCAGATATGATCTCCACTTGCTTGGTGGCTTTTGCTCTCCATGTCTGACTCTGGGTAGATGGAGATAGCCTGCTTTTGGGGAAGCCGGAACCCGGGCTGCAGAAGGTGGCATTTTCCTAAGCTGGCACGTGTGCGTGCTCTTCTTGTCCTAGGGCTGTGCAGTGAGGTCGTGAGGTCCCTGTCCCTTCACTGAGAACCAGGTGGGCTCAGCCAACAGTATGGCACACCTGTTACCAGGACACTTGTGAGGCTGCAAAGGCACCAGCATGTCCGCCTGGCCTCACAATTCAGGCTGCCATGTAGGGAGGGCGTCCGTGTCCTATGTGGCCAGACATGAGGAGGCCAGCAAGAGCCTGTGTCCCCATCAGTGGGGACAGAGATGCTTCCTGATCATTGCAGCCTCACCTGCCCAGCCCCTCCCGACTCTGGGACCTGCAGAAGTGGCAGGAACTGTGGAACAGAGACAGCCTCTCCCTGTCCAAGATCAGAGCCACAATGCACAAGGGCACAAGGCCACAGCTGTTCCCCACTGCAGTCTCCGGGCTGCTTGTTACACAGGGGCAGGACCAGTTTGGGAGGGGTTTGCTGACCGCCAGGCATCTGTGTCAGAGGGACAGTCAGTCCTCTTTTGCAGTGTTTCCCAGGGAAAATGTGACGTCCACTCTGTGCCTTCTCCAGGGCAGACTGGTGGGCCGCCTTCCTGCTCTTTGGTGGCAGTGTGCTGACACCTTTGACCTGTTATACCAGCACTGCCACATTTGGTTGTTAGGGTGGCTTGCTGTACCTCCTGGACAGAGGCTCCTCCACACCTGTGCTGGGGGCTCAGGCCTGTGCTGGGGTTCGGGCTCCCAGGCTGGTCCTACGCTTCAGTTGCATTCAGCCTCTAAGGCTCGCTCTGAGCAAATCTCCCTTCGTTGCTGGGGTGCACTGGGTGTCACGGGACCGACAGCAGGCGTCAGAGGGGACCAGGCCTCCAGTCCTGCCGAGTCCCCGCTCAGCAAAGTGAAGCTGCGGGGCTTCCCGGAGGAGGCGGCTCCGGGGTGGACAGGCCCGGCAGGCGGAGGAGGAACCGGAAGGCCACAGGGATGCATCAGAAAACTCTGCCGGAGGTGGGCGCTCTCCTGCAGCTCTCACGGAGCTGGCGGGAAGGACAAATGGGCAGCTCCTTCCTGCAGGGATGCACCCCGAGCCTCGCACCCGCGAGCTGCCTGAGCCTACTCTGGGCCTTCCTGGGTGGAGCCGAGCCCTCCGGGCAGCGCACACCTGCAGCCGCGGGTGTGCTCAGTGTTCACGTGGAATTCTTTAAAGCGTCCCAGAGGCTGCAGTTACTGCCCACAGCCGAGGGCTCAGGGTGACCCCAAGCGGAGGACTCGTGTTGCGGTCTCTGACCCTGCCTTTTTCCATCGTGCCATCCTTGCCCAGTTCGGTTCCTCCCTGGGTGCAGCCTTGGGAGCTCACCTGCAGGGCAGCACTCAGAGCTCGGTGCTATACCGCCCCCTGGTGGCCTCTTCTGGGAGTGCGCGGGGCCGCTGCCATCCTTTGAGCCACTGCCCCAGGGGACCTTCCGTGGCGAGGAGACGCCAGGGCGATGAGGGCACGCACAGCCCGTGCCAGCACCACACGGGCACAGTCCACTGCCTGTGACGGTGGATCTCCCGGTGCCATCACGCTCCCAGCCCCCTCCTCCAGGCCGGCGCCTCCCGCTGTGCAAAGTGACTGAAGACCAGGCTCAGCCTGAGGCGGGATGGAGCAGCCTCGGGCACAGCCAGCGAGGAGGCCAGGAGCACTCTGTGGGGAGACTGCAGCCTCGGGCACAGCTGGCCCCGCGTGCACCAGCCCAGGGTGGATGGCGGGGCCAGGTCGGCACCCTTGGCAGATGGGAGAGTGAGCAGCAGCTTTTAAATCAGCTGCCCCAAACCCAAACCAAACCGCCCGCCTGTGGCAGCCGGCCGGGGCAGGGGGGCACCCTCGGGAAGTGCACGCGGTGCCCAGCTCCAAACTGCTGGCTCCCCTGCATGTGTGCTGCACGGTCTGTCTGTGACACACCCACCTGTGCCTCTTCCC